GGGGGGGGGGGGGGGGGGGGGGGGCTGAAATAGGGAGCAATGAAAAAAACTTCATCCTCATACAATAACAGAAGTAGAACAATTATTGCTGTTATTTTGATATGGTTAATCTACAAATGTGTGCAGAGTAAGAGCTTAATTAGATGGAAGGATTAAAAATCTTTAATTTACATAATGTTGTAGCTGGGATTTTAATGGTACATTTGACCATTATACTGTAGCTACCATATATATGGAAATTATATTGTAAGCTTGGATTTCATTGATTCAGTCAATCAATTTTGATTTTGTTGTGTTCTACATTTAAACGTAAGTTTATATAAATAAAGTGCACTTGTAGATGCAATATGAATATATTTTATGCTAACATAAGAGTAGACATAATGTTGTAAGCTGTCATTGGATTGGTGTAGGTGGCTGATAAGATTGTGGTCAGTCCTAAGTTGATGACAAAGGCCAAGAAGAGGATGGTTGTGATGCACCCCCTACCCAGGGTGACCGAGATAGAGTGAGTTTATATCAGTAGTCATAGTAACAGTCAGTTTATATCAGTAGTCATAGTAACAGTGAGTTTATATCAGCAGTCATAGTAACAGTGAGTTTATATCAGTAGTAATAGTAACAGTCAGTTTATATCAGTAGTCATAGAAACAGTCAGTTTATATCAGTAGTCATAGTAACAATCAGTTTATATCAGAAGTCATAGAAACAGTCAGTTTATATCAGTAGTCATAGTAACAGTGACTTTATATCAGTAGTCATAGTAATAGTGACTTTATATCAGTAGTCATAGTAACAGTAGGTTTATATCAGTAGTCATAGTAACAGTCAGTTTATATCTGTAGTCATAGTAACAGTCAGTTTATATCAGGAGTCATAGTAACAGTCAGTTTATATCAGTAGTCTAGTAACAGTCAGTTTATATCAGTAGTCATAGTAACAGTGAGATTATATCAGTAGTCATAGTAACAGTGAGTGTATATCAGTAGTCATAGTAACAGTCAGTTTATTTCAGTAGTCATAGTAACAGTGAGTTTATATCGGACGTTATAGTAACAGTGACTTTATATCAGTAGTCATAGTAACAGTGAGTGTATATCAGTAGTCATAGTAACAGTGAGTTTATTTCAGTAGTCATAGTAACAGTCAGTTTATATTCATATACATAACAAAAGTTTGGTCCAGTTTTATCCTTCATTATGCTTTTATTTATTTACATTTTTATACAGAATGCACTTACGATATCTTATACAGTATTGCAACAAAAAGTCATAGTAACAGTAAGTTTATATCAGTACTCATAGTAACAGTGAGTTTATATCAGTACTCATAGTAACAGTAAGTTTATATCAGTACTCATAGTAACAGTGAGGTTATATCAGTAGTCATAGTAACAGTCAGTTTATATCACTAGTCATAGTAACAGTGAGTTTATATCAGCAGTCATAGTAACAGTGAGTTTATATCAGTATTCGTAGTAACAGTCAGTTTATATCAGTAGTCATAGTAACAGGGAGTTTATATCAGAAGTCATAGTAACAATGAGTTTATATCAGTAGTCAGAGTAACAGTGAGTTTATATCAGTAGTCATCGTAACAGTAAGTTTATATCAGTAGTCATAATAACACTGAGTTTATATCAGTAGTCATAGTAACAGTCAGATTATATCAGTAGTCATAGTAACAGTGAGTGTATATCAGTAGTCATAGTAACAGTGAGTTAATATCAGTAGTCATAGTAACAGTGAGTTTTTATCAGTAGTCATAGTAACAGTGAGTTTATTTCAGTAGTCATAGTAACAGTCAGTTTATATTCATATACATAACAAAAGTTTGGTCCAGTTTTATCCTTCATTATGCTTTTATTTATTTACATTTTTATACAGAATGCACTTACGATATCTTATACAGTATTGCAACAAAAAGTCATAGTAACAGTAAGTTTATATCAGTACTCATAGTAACAGTGAGTTTATATCAGTAGTCAAAGTAACAGTGAGTTATTATCAGTAGTCATAGTAACAGTGAGTTTATATCGGACGTTATAGTAACAGTGACTTTATATCAGTAGTCATAGTAATAGTGACTTTATATCAGTAGTCATAGTAACAGTGAGATTATATCAGTAGTCATAGTAACAGTGAGTGTATATCAGTAGTCATAGTAACAGTCAGTTTATTTCAGTAGTCATAGTAACAGTGAGTTTATATCGGTAGTCATAGTAACAGTGAGTTTATATCAGGACCGAGATAGAGTGAGTTTATATCAGTAGTCACAGTAACAGTAAGTTTATATCAGTAGTCATACTAACAGTGAGTTTATATCAGTAGTCATAGGAACAGTGAGTTTATATCAGTAGTCATAGTAACAGTGAGTTTATATCAGACGTTATAGTAACAGTGAGTTTATATCAGACGTTATAGTAACAGTCAGTTTATATCAGTAGTCATAGTAACAGTCAGTTTATATTCATATACATAACAAAAGTTTGGTCCAGTTTTATCCTTCATTATGCTTTTATTTATTTACATTTTTATACAGAATGCACTTACGATATCTTATACAGTATTGCAACAAAAAAAATGATTCTGTCCATCAATTAATTTTGGCAATTTTCTTTATCTAAACGTAAGTACATATTAAAAAAATGCACATGTAAATGAATGAAGATGTTTATTTATATAATATATATTTATGATTTTATATCTTTTTTCAGTCCCCTGTTCGACACAGATCCACGTGCAGCCTATTTCCGACAGGCTGAGAATGGCATGTACATCCGCATGGCACTACTGGCTTTGGTGCTGGGGAAATGTTAATTATATCATGAACAAGGAAGACTGAAGTAACTACACCAGAAACAAACTACACCAGAAACTACACCAGAAACAAACTACACAAGAACCACACCAGAAACAAACTACACCAGAAACAAACTACACAAGAAACAAACTACACAAGAAACAAACTACACAAAACAGTATTGGTAATATTAGGAACATTGAACATCAGAAATAATGATGACAGTTACATAGGAAATCACCACTGATATACCAACAGGTGTGTGCAATATAGTGAAAACAAATTATTGTGAGAGACTAATTGTCTAATAACATATGTTCCTATAGGGAACTCAATAATATTAACAAACTTTAAAGTCACTCTTTTTCAAGCTTTCGGGCTTAGCCCTTCTTCGGGGATTACATGTCACCAGACCTCTATGTCACATCCATCTTGACAAACATGATGAGTACTATCAAATTGTGAAAGAGAATGAAAAATCCTTTTATATTATCAAAGCATTTAACAAGTTCATGAAAATGTTGACAACAAACAATGGTGATAAATACAGTGTAAAATTCAGAATAACAATTGGAGGAAAGTATGACGAGTATTGTGATCATTGCAGATGTTTTGAGAAGGAAAGTGCTAAATTGTGTAAAATCATTAATGTGATATGTTGTAGACCCTCTGAATCATCAAATTACAATTGTAATTAATGAATTATATTAACGAGATTATTTAAAGCACTGATTCTGTTAGAATTATAGTTGATTGATGAAGGTTGGTAAGAATATATTGGTATACATGTACTTATAATTAAATAGTTGTATGCATGGTATAATATGGTGTTTATCAAAGTTTGATATTATGTAATATTATACAGGGGTGCTGGGTGATGTATCCTATAGATATGGACATCTTGGTGGATTTGTATCCACTGACTATTATGTTCTAGATTCTTGAGAATTGATATGAGATGGAAAAATATTATAGATTTTAGATCTATATTTGAATCATTTTGTATGAGTTTTTGATGATTTGTAATTTTTGGAACAAAATTGATAGATAGATATATAAACCATATACTGTATATGAAATGTTGCTTCCTATTAACAGTAGAGGATATTTTTGTTATTTTTCCTATGGCAGAACTTTCGTTTGTTTGTTTACTAAAAGCTGATAGACCAGAGATTGCATTTAAACTTTTCATCCGTCGTCGTTTTACAATTTCATATTCATCTTTCAAGTTTCCAATGATCCATCTATCACTAAGGGTATTGTTACGGTTAGGAAATGCTCAGATTATTTTCATTTACTAAATATTCCCAAAAGCATTTTTTTTCAATACAAATTAACCTTTACTGATATATGTCTTTTACAAATTCATCTTTTCCCTGTTAAATACTCCATTCTTTATTGGTTGGTTGAGTTTTTCTAGCCAATGAACAAGATTTTTTACTTTCTGTTGGTTGTATTTGTCTCATAAATGTGAGGAAAGTCTTTCACTAGTCAAATTCTGTTTTTTAAATTTAATTCATCAAACTCATTTATACAGAAATATCTAACAACCGTAATAACCTTACCATGAAGAGATTAAGTAAGAAAGATCAGTAATTAATATCTTTTATGCCATGAAAATTTGTTGTGTATTTGCTGTGTATTTGGTTGCAGTGGAAGCCCAAATCATAATCACCAAAAGAATGTTTATATAAAATTCTAACCAGAGGTACAGGGTACTAAAATAGGGATTACTTTACAAATCCTACCCAGGACACGCTACACCAATTTACATGTACAAGAAATATAAAAATCTTAACAGAGACACAGGATACCAAATAAAGGAGTAATATAAAAATCTAACAGAGACACAGGATACCAAATATAGGAGTAATATAAAAATCCAACAGGGACACAGGATACCAAATATAGGAGTAATATAAAAAGCTAACAGAGACACAGGATGCCAAATATAGGAGTAATATAAAAATCTAACAGAGACATAGGATACCAAATATAGGAGTAATATAAAAAGCTAACAGAGACACAGGATGCCAAATATAGGAGTAATATAAAAATCTAACAGAGACACAGGATACCAAATAAAGGAGTAATATAAAAATCTAACAGAGACATAGGATACCAAATATAGGAGTAATATAAAAACCTAACAGAGACACAGGATACCAAATATAGGAGTAAAATAAAAATCTAACAGAGACACAGGATACCAAATAAAGGAGTAATATAAAAATCTAACAGAGACAAGGGGTCCCAAATATAGGAGTAATATAAAAATCTAACAGAGACACAGGATACCAAATAAAGGAGTAATATAAAAATCTAACAGACACAGGATACCAAATATAGGAGTAATATAAAAATCTAACAGAGACAAGGAGTACCAAAATAGGAGTAATATAAAAATCTACACAGTTGACGAAACATAGGATTGATGTAAAAAAAATATGGGGAGCATATTGCACCAAATATAAGTTTGATATAAAAAAATCTTACTGGGAGACACGGTACACATATAGGATCAATACAAGATTCATACTGGGAACATATTCATTATTTATCTAAAAGATATCCAGGGACAATCAAGTTTGTATCAATGAAAGATTTTGTCAACATATATCTGAAAATGACCCTCCCCACAAATGTTTCAGATTGTATAGTGTGTGAATTCGAACCTGACATAAAATACAAGGTGTTGGGTGTGCTATAACAAAGATCAATTGATAATGCGTGCTATAACAAAGATCAACTGATAATGCGTGCTTAACAAAGAACAATTGATAATGCGTGCTATAACAAAGAACAATTGATAATGCGTGCTATAACAAAGAACAACTGTTTATAAACAACCATAACAATATGATACAGTTTAATAAATGCTATTTATTAACTGTAAAGCTTGAGGTATGCAATGTTATCATGACCAACATTGTTGTATATGTTTTATAAATCAGCATACACATGTTTATACATATATCACAAGAACTCAACAATACACAAATATATACATTTCATGATGATCTACATTTAGGTTTGGCCTTGGGGACTATATCATACTACACATATATAAGCTAGGGAAATCTCACAGATTACTGACGTTATCCTACCAGGAGTGAACTGTCGCCCCTTGTCCAAGGATAACTGCCGATATATCCCCCCAGGAGCGAAACGGTCGCCCCTGGTCCCAACGGCTGGATGAGACTTCCCATTATCAAAAACGGACCCTAATGAGAGGATATTCTGACAATCCTGGATCCAGACATGATGAGCAGCTCATATACCTGGATCCCATGAGAGGATATCGGATCAGGAATTTACTGGGTCCGCATGATGTCTAGGTCTAATTTCCTGGATATAGATCCCATGAGAGGATATTTCCTGAATCCTGGATTGGCCACATGGGCCCCGGTAGCCCATGTTTGTACCAATCCCATGAGAGGATTCATCATTGTTGGAAATTCCTGGATCTATAGGATACCTAATTATAACTTATAGGCACCTTATTATGTAGGCATAACTGTATATTAACATGGGGGCTGAACACAACAACATATGTGTTGTGTACCTCCCAAATTGAAGCTGTATACCTCTCGTATTGCGATATGTGCGCAGCTGAAAAGCCCCTGATAATGCGTGCTATAACAAAGAACAATTGATAATGCGTGCTATAACAAAGATCAATTGATAATGGGTGCTATAACAAAGAACAATTGGCATTATCATAATGCATTTTTTTCGTTTTGTTTCTGTTGTAAATAATTTTGAATTGGTACAGGTCATAATAAATAATAAATATGATGGTACGCTTATTTCCTCATTGAACTAGTTAAAACATCAACTATGTTTTTACATGTAAGATATAGGCTATTTGATCAAAGAAATAGGTGATTACAGCTAACTACTTGTTCCTAAAGAGATTTTTTATTTTGGATCAATTTGAAGTTGCTTGAAAAGTGCTATTTAGTCCCTGTTTGTGGACTAAGCTATGTGATGAAACTATATTCATAGTCCCTTCATTCAAAGAAGTTAACATTTTCTTTTGTTGATTTTGACAAAATGGTGTCTGAATACACTGTTCAAATTTGATATAGATTTTTTTCTCAAATAATTCATTGTAAAAATCATGATACTGCCTTCATATGTTATAGCTACAGATAATAATTAGAAATTGTTATAAATGTGAAAATAATATGAGTAGTATTAAAAGTCTATATGTTTAAATAGATTTATTAGGACAAAAAACACATTTCACACGTTTTACATCACATCAATACTGGAAATAGACCATAGAATGGAACGGAGGAAAATTTGTTGTATATTTAAAAGTCTTTGGACAATACAGTGAGGTTTTTTCATGCAAATGTTTTCTATTGGAAATGTTATTTACAGCACGATCTGTTGAAGTTACAAAAATCTTGTTTTACCAAACGTTTTGAGCATTGATCTGAAAATGAAGAACCTTCTGAGCAGTTTAATTGCATATTATGAGAAGTTGTACATTATTTCAATAAAAACGAATTTCACATGCATTTTGATTTATATCCATACTGTTTGAATCAAGAAATCAAGAACCTTTTGAGCAGTCTAATTGTATTTCTTTGTGAAGATTTGTAAGTTTGGACTGTTTCAATATTTTGCTCTAAAAACGATGTTTGTATGGAGAACATATAGCAAAGCATTTACTTCAGAATCTCCTAATTTCATACTAAGAATTTCAATGTTTATTACAGCATCCTTAGATATGAAAATTATATTTTGTGGATTGACCTGAAAAGGACCTGTTACAGGAACAAAAGAATTTTGCCCACAAAGCAATTTAACCATTACTGGGTTATATTTGTAGCTCCCTAAGTCACGACCCATGAGATATTTTTTAAAAATTAAAAAGGTCCCCAGGGCCTGTGCTATGAACTATTTAGTGCCGCCTTCCAAAGGTGTACGACAGGGTTCACTTTTTTGTCCAAAAAACTATCAAAACAATGTTTTACGCTACCAAATAATATTATATTATTTAGAATAGGATCTGCTGCAAATTATGAACTCAAATATGCAACAAAACATTGCATAATAAAAAAGTTATAAAATCTTAAACTCTAAAAATGTTGGTATTTTTATACACTTTTTTGCTACATCAATTGTTTTACGGAAGTAAAACACCAATTTCCGGTTCTTGTACACCAAAAAACTTTTAATATTATTTGGTGCATTATGTTGAGATACGATAGTAAAAATTTCAGAAAATTTGAGAACCGGTAAATTTGTCATATAAATGTCAAATTGTAGCAACGTCTGTTTCCAAATAAAATCCAACAACCTTATGACCTATAGTCATGTTTGATAATTTAACAATACGTCGCACCAATTTATTATCGCAACTGATCAAATTTTCATCAATAAGGTCTGCTGCTCATGATGAGCCCAACTATAAAGCTAGATGTTGCAAAATAAAAAAGTTATGCAGTCTCACACACATAAAAGTTTAGTATGTTATGTACATTTTTAGTTGTTTCGCATCTTTACGGAAATGATAGACATATTTCCGGTTTTTGTACACCAACATACTTTGGATATTATTTGGCACATTATGCTGACTGACGATAGTAGAAATTTCGAAAAAATCGGTAGTCGGTAAATGTGTCATCTTAAGGATAATATGTTGTATGACCAATGTCAAAATAAATCTTCAATAACTACAGATCAATGCAATTATTTCATAATTAACCTAAAATCATTCCAATATACTATCAAGGTGGATGATATGGTTTATAGTAGAGTATGACTGTTTAGCTAAACTAGGTGGTTTAAGGGGACATACAGCATAAGTTAGGCAATTCGTCAGAACATTTGGTGTACCAGTATAATATGTTGAAGCTATGCTATCCCATAAAATTGCTTCTTTTCAGGAGAGTTATAGTTTCCAATTCATGGATTGTTGTATTTACTGTTTTTTTTTTTTTTTAATTTGACAACAAATAGTCAAAATTGGTCATTCAAAACATTTTTCTGAATTTCTGCTTTCTCAGTTCAATCTTAGGTCTTATTATTTTTTCATATTATTCCCGACAAGTGACTGGCCAGAAGTGCATCACGTGTCCACCGATAAAAACCGATATTGACTTGGAGCGCATGATTTTTGTTGAAGGACTGGGTGTTTATAAAAATAGAATTATGACGTGTCTCCAAACAATGCACCGTCCCACTTCCGAAGTTGTTTTTGGTTTTTTTCAGATTGCTTACATTACTGTTTTGTAAAATAATAAAACAATTGTAGCCTTTAACTTCGGTCAATACCTGGATTTATCAACCTGAGAAAAGATATATCGACCTCAGCCATAGGCTATAATTGAATAATGTTTCTTTTTTGAATGCATTCACAATATGCAGTCTCTGAGTTTGCGAGCTTTAGGCTGGAGCGTTTTAGCATCTGTTAAATGTGCATAGTATCCTAGATAATACAGTATTGATGCGACATGAGTCTTTCCTGCAGGACACACACAATAGTATATGCCTTGACAGGATCCTCTGATGCGTGTAGGTCAAACTCTATCCAGACATTGTATTTTGCCTGCGACCTGTGGCGATAATGTAATTGGCCTCGCAGAAGGTCATCAGCATGCGGATACACCCATATCTCATAATCACCCCCATCTGTCTGATGTTCTGTGATATAGCCAGGTGCCAGCTTCAGCTGATATGTACCACAAGCCAAAGTCGCATTGACCTGTAGTTATTGAAGATTTATTTTGACATTGGTCATACAACATATTATCCTTAAGATGACACATTTACCGACTACCGATTTTTTCGAAATTTCTACTATCGTCAGTCAGCATAATGTGCCAAATAATATCCAAAGTATGTTGGTGTACAAAAACCGGAAATATGTCTATCATTTCCGTAAAGATGCGAAACAACTAAAAATGTACATAACATACTAAACTTTTATGTGTGTGAGACTGCATAACTTTTTTATTTTGCAACATCTAGCTTTATAGTTGGGCTCATCATGAGCAGCAGACCTTATTGATGAAAATTTGATCAGTTGCGATAATAAATTGGTGCGACGTATTGTTAAATTATCAAACATGACTATAGGTCATAAGGTTGTTGGATTTTATTTGGAAACAGACGTTGCTACAATTTGACATTTATATGACAAATTTACCGGTTCTCAAATTTTCTGAAATTTTTACTATCGTATCTCAACATAATGCACCAAATAATATTAAAAGTTTTTTGGTGTACAAGAACCGGAAATTGGTGTTTTACTTCCGTAAAACAATTGATGTAGCAAAAAAGTGTATAAAAATACCAACATTTTTAGAGTTTAAGATTTTATAACTTTTTTATTATGCAATGTTTTGTTGCATATTTGAGTTCATAATTTGCAGCAGATCCTATTCTAAATAATATAATATTATTTGGTAGCGTAAAACATTGTTTTGATAGTTTTTTGGACAAAAAAGTGAACCCTGTCGTACACCTTTGGAAGGCGGCACTAAATAGTTCACAGCACAGGCCCTGGGGACCTTTTTAATTTTTAAAAAATATCTCATGGGTCGTGACTTAGGGAGCTACAAATATAACCCAGTAATGGTTAAATTGCTTTGTGGGCAAAATTCTTTTGTTCCTGTAACAGGTCCTTTAAAAAATACGTAACATTTATTAACAATGTATGACTCATGATGAGAACATGCTGTGGATTTTAAAGTATATCTCAACATTGTTTTTGTCAAAACATACAGATATCCTTTGTAAATCAGTTCCAGTGCGTGCATTAAAAGTGCTATAATAAATACCTAGGATCTCTATTGTTTACTGAATATCTTTTAAGGAGAAATATTTACAACTTGACAATGTACATATACCGTAATGATTAAACCACACGAAGGCGAATCTCAGCACAAACAATTTTTGTGCCATTTAAAATAAAATGATTGAAAGCGTATATACCTTGTTTGTATCTTTATCTTGTTATATCTGATATTCAAGTCACGTGTATAGTAACACTCCAGCTTCCTCAAAATGCGGTGTTTACATGTCTCCATCGTTTCGGTATTCAGGGCTTCCATTATAAATGTAGGCAGCAGACGGAAAAACTCAAGATACTGGGTTTCCAAAGATGCATTTGGATGAAGATTTAGGACAAGTTTAATTGTCGTCATCAGGACCTGATGGAAAAGATGCCGTTTCTTGGTGTGATATGATGGTTCATGCGTTTGATAGTGATAGTGTTCCTTGTTGTCGCTTCACCAGTCGTAGGATGTGGTCATACTACTGTACTGTCTTTGTTCACTCCTAAAAGTAGACCTAAACGTAAGCATGGACATCCACATTACAATAGTCCAACTGAGTACGGCGTTACGTTTGAAGACCTAGTGATAACTCTAGAGAAACCATCGTATATCTCCGGAATTTTCAATTAAGATCACAACAATAAACATGACGCACAAGGATGTTCATATTTGTTCTAGCTTTATCGACCTTGATTATGAGAAGTTCTTTTTACATAACCAATACGATTTTCTATGTGACGTTGCGATGACTAGTACGATATGTGCACTGTCACCTTCATCAGACGAATGACCACTGAAGCGTATGCACACAAAGGTGAAATCGAATCATTTCGGTACAAGTATAACAACTATTGTACATACGCTAGTCGAATCGAGTCGATTTGGTGAACAACTCGTACACGTCACTGGTCGTCTGTCTGATGAAGGTGGCAAGTGTACATATCGTACTAGTCATCGAAACGTCACCTAGAAAATCTTATTGTTTGTATAAATAGAACTTCTCATAATCCATGCTTACCAACATGAAGAAAATGTTTAGAATTATCGACCATGAGTTTGAATTGCAGTTTTACTGACACATTGATTGTTTATCCTTCTGTCTGAGGACAATCCTGTATATTTATTGAGCCCAGGACCCCAACACTGGCAATGACCGATCGACTTTGGAAAAAAATCATTGAAACTAAAACATGAAGTGACAAGTGAACGAAATAACAAAGCCACGCAAATGCAGATTGTTTAAACGTTTTTACTTCATGCCCTTCAACATATTACACAGGTACAGTAAACCGGTGTCGCACGAGTAAATTTATAATTATATCAAACCTGTAACGGAAAGAAATGGAACTGTAGGCAAATCTGCACAAACTATAGAAAGGGGAAAAAAAATATTGACGATTGCGTAGGTACTGACTGAATCGGTTTTAACAGTTGAGTAGGAGTAGTCAAGACAATATATATTTTTTAACGAAAATGATATGACATTTGACTTACCTTACATACTAATAAAGTGTACAAATATCCATAGAAATCAGCACTTACGGAGGATTTGTCCTGCAAACATAAGTTTACAAGCAAACGGAAGGTCCGACACATTGATTACATGCTGCTCATGTCCGTTCAACGTATGGACGTGTTTAATTAAACTGAACAAACAGTTCGTTAGTTGGTTAGTTTCTATTAATGGAAATGCCTTTTGTGAAAACACATCGCTGCTTGGTGTACTAATATATGGAGAAAATGAAAACGAAGTTTTGTAAATCTGACGGTAAGCATGAAGACAGGTGTATTAACAGGAAAGAATGCGTTTCATGTTTGGAAAATTAAAAGGTAGACACCTTAGAGCAACACAACACAACACAACACAACGCAACGCAACGCAACGCAACGCAACACAACACAACACAACACAACACAACTGGCAATAAGTGTAACAGAGGTCATATATGTTCAATGCCTTAATTTGCTAGGAGTCGAACCCTCTGGTTTCCTAGTCTTGCGCTCTATCGAACGAGTTAAAGAGAAGTTCTCAATAGCGGGTCGGTAGGAAGCGGCTAGTATTTTACCAGGGTGATGATAATATAAGAAACAAGAGGAACAGATGCAATACCAAAACAATAGCCCTCTCTGGTAAAGGATAACTTGATTTCTTAAAGATTCCAGTGTCTAGAAAAACTGAAAACTTGTAGTCTGTGCCTTAAATCGTTGGTGATTTGCCACATGTAGTCCAGGGAAACGCTTACTTGTAGACGAGGGAAACGCTTACTTGTAGTCCAGGGAAACGCTTACATGTAGTCCAGGGAAACGCTTACTTCCTGAACAGTTGCTTTTGCCACCAGTTATATAGAGGAAGGGAAATTATATTTTTCCTTTTGTTTCGTTGTCCCCTCCGTTCCTATTCATATTAAGACCGAGTACGGATTTTGTATTTTGTCCATCTGTGTTAACACTATTCTATGTTTTCTTGGGCTGTCCACATACAAATACAACCGTCAATGGTTGCCGTCAACTCCTCTGGTGTAATAATGCTTTATGACGAGGTTTTTAACGCATACTTTCTTCAACTTTAGCACAAGATTAATATCGTAAAGTTCTAAACCATTGCCATTAAAAGTGACCATAACCAAAACATATCTGTCCGGTCCGAGAGATACATTCAAAAATGAAACCGTTAATTAAATGTTTGTCCCTCGGTTTCGAGACCGGTAAGGTCACACTCTCCACACGAAATGATGGCATCTCCATGCAATGGACTTATCCCCCTGGTTTTTCCCCAACCAATCCAGTCACAAGCACATGTGGACCAACCAGTCAAACTACAGGTACAACTGAATCAACCAATAAAACCACAACCACATCAATTCGACACCTTTTAGCAGAATAATTGTTCACTAACAGTATTTTCTGTGAGCAGTTTGTGGTCAGTCATCGAATGTCATCACATTTCATTCTTCTGTTGTTAGTCCCTGTGTACCTATTATTCAACAGAGTTTTCGATAATGAAACACGTACAGACTAAGAGTTATAAAACATCGTTGTTTATCACGACCGTCGGTACCTGCTCATGATTCTATCTCTGGTAAAATTACTGATAAAAAAACATGTTCGTAGTCTGTAGTTTATAATCGACCCTCCGGGACACTCTTCTACACAAAACTCCTCTAACCGGAAGTGACGACACCGAATACACTGATTTTGTTGTGATCCTGTACAAGTTAGGCATTCTGAATGACATGGTCTGCATATCTGAAACGCACAAATGAAAATCGAATAATCATAGATCCTTTAAATATATTAATCCTTAAGTTTGCACGTTCTGAAAAAAATCATCGATTTCTTTTAGAACATAGCTTATTTGAATTTATACATTTATAAACTATTATAAATTAATTGTTTGTATAATTGAAATATAAACGTACGGTAATAATGTGTACCTCAACACAACACATAGTGGAAACATCTACAACACAAAAGTATGACAAACAATATATTGTACTTACAGCTCTCGCCGGTAAGTCACAAAAGTATGACAGACACTATATTGTACTTACAGCTCTCGCTGCTGAGTCACAAAAGTATGACACACAATATATTGTACTTACAGCTCTCGCCTCTAAGTCATAAAAGTATGACAAACAATATATATTGTACTTACAGCTCTCGCCGGTAAGTCACAAAAGTATGACACACAATATATTGTACTAACAATAAAATGTACTTACAGCTCTCGCCTGTAAGTCACAAAAGTATGACAAACAATATATTGTACGTACAGCTCTCGCTGCTGAGTCACAAAAGTATGACACACAATACATTGTACTTACAGCTCTCGCCTGTAAGTCACAAAAGTATGACAAACAATATATTGTACTTACAGCTCTCGCTGCTGAGTCACAAAAGTATGACACACAATACATTGTACTTACAGCTCTCGCCGGTAAGTCACAAAAGTATGACAGACACTATATTGTACTTACAGCTCTCGCCGGTAAGTCACAAAAGTATGATAAACTATATATTGTACTTACAGCTCTCGCCGGTAAGTCACGTTGCTGGCCTGAATCCACTAAACCCATGTAATGGTGCTGCTGACATCCGGTATGTCGGGAAATACATTCCAGACCGGAGGTGGTGGTAGAATGTTGGGCCAGAAAACAATTATTACACCCTCCATGTCCCAGTCGGTTACTTGGACCTGTACATCTGAAAAGATATGCACAACATTTTGATTTGTTCCAAAAGATGTGGTCGAAAAAGTAATATACATTTAGCGTAAACTTTCTTCATTGAGCAATGGAGTTAAATCTTACGCTGTTTCGTGTATCAATTACCCAATGTTAAAGGTGCAATCCCTTTTGTGTGTTACAAGCATCTTTCAAGATACAATGTGGACTACTCTACTGGTGATAACCGCCGTGGTTTGTCATGACCTTGAGTGTCAACAAGTATCTCCTTTGAGTAGTGGTCATCCTCGATTTCCAGGGGTTACGATCACCTACGCTCTCTACACTAGAGAGCGAAAGTAAGCGTAACTCCTGGATATCGAGGATGAGTAGTTGTAGGGTTCATCATATACACACGTACTCGTGATTAACATAAAATTAACCAGAACTCTTCTATTTATTGAAATTCATGTTATTAATGGGTTATAAATAACCATGTACCTCCCCTTCTGTGTCCACAGTACTCCAATTTGTTTTTCCCTTTTTGCCCCTATCATCATCAACGAGTCCCAGAGGGACGAAACAGCGGTTTGGTGCAGCTTAATCGATTTTTGACAAACTGTATCTATTACAAAATTGTAAAATTGAAATACATGTGAGTGTCTTATGTACATCTATTAAAACATTATATTGTGAGTAAGGAAGAACACACTGGCACCGAACAATCTAAATAACTTTAACGTACAACACTCATGCTGTTGAACCTATCAAATTTGGTGATAGATATAGTATGCATACAGCTGTTTCGTCCTTCTAGGTTTCATCGGTGATGCTAAGGCAAGCAAAAGAAATAGGAAATCCAAACTGGTCTTAACTAACCCCTTAATTCACGAACTTCAAAATTAAGTACTGTTTAATTTCAAAGTAAAAAATTGCAAAGTGTGCATATTATGGACCGTGATTCTAACTCAAGATAAATATAGGAATCACAGTACAAACTATCTCTCCCCGTAAAATATTCTTTTCATGTTAATTTTTGCCATTGCGTTTGGGTGCAACTTTCTGTACGTTTTTCTGTTGCTGCATCATTTTGATAGACAACGTGATTAGTTGTTAATGTATAGTAATGACTTGTATAAGTTAGATACGAAAAGACAAAAACATGAACGCAGAAAACACCAAACCATACGGGAAAACAGCATGAATCATCAACAAAACGGCGTAGCTATGTACCCCGATGTTAAGCGTTTCCTGCACCACATGTCAAGGTATCTTCGTCAAGTCCAGCGAAATGTATGCTACTGACTATCTTACAAGCAGTGAGCAATGATCACAATGGATTTTGATATTGAAGAGAGGGAAGTAAACTCATGTTACGACCGCAACATTTGTAACATAGATAGACGCTTGTAGAAAGCGTAGAAAGTGAGAGTTAACAAGTTTTTATTCAATCTCAATTGAAAGTGTTTTAACCTGCCCTTTCAGCTTTAAGCAGCTTATTGTCATCAATATGTACATACCCAGACAACAACGAAAGATGGATGTAATACACACAGAGGTAACTGACTTATATATACAATGTATCTAATAGATACAATAGATCTAATAAAATAGATCAAATAGATACAATATATCTAATACAATAGATCTAATAGATACAATAGATCTAAAAGATACAATATATCTAATACAATAGATACAATAGATACAATAGATCTAATACAATAAATCTAATAGATACAATAGATACAATAGATATAATAGATCTAATAGATACAATAGATACAATAGATACAATAGAACTAATAGATACAATAGATACAATAGATACAATAGATATACTAGATATAATAGATACAACAGATCTGATAGATACAATAGATCTAATACAATAGATCTAATAGAATAGATATAACACAATAGATCTAATAGATACAATAGATCTAATAGATACAATAGATCTAATAGATCTAATACAATAGATCTAATACAATAGATCTAATACAATAGATATAATAGATACAATAGATATAATAGATACAATAGATATAATAGATACATCTAATAGATACAATAGATATAATACAATAGATCTAATAGATACAATAGATCTAATAGATATAATAGATACAATAGATATAATAGATACAATAGATCTAATAGATATAATAGATACAGTAGATATAATACAATAGATCTAATAGATATAATAGATATAATAGATACAATAGATACAATAGATATAATACAATAGATATAATACAATAGATACAATAGATATAATACAATAGATCTAATAGATACAATAGATATAATAGATACAATAGATACAATAGATCTAATACAATAGATCTAATAGATACAATAGATACAATATATCTAATAGATACAATAGATCTAATAGATACAATAGATACAATAGATACAATAGATACAATAGATACAATAGATCTAATAGATACAATAGATCTAATAGATACAATAGATATAATACAATATATCTAATAGATACAATAGATCTAATAGATACAATATGTATAATAGATACAGTAGATATAATAGATACAATAGATCTAATAGATACAATAGATATAATAGATACAATAGATATAATAGATACAATAGATATAATAGATACAATAGATATAATAGATATAATAGATATAATACAATAGATCTAATAGATACAATAGATCTAATAGATACAATAGATATAATAGATACAATAGATCTAATAGATACAATAGATATAATAGATACAATAGATATAATAGATACAATAGATATAATAGATACAATAGATATAATAGATACAATAGATATAATAGATACAATAGATATAATAGATACAATAGATATAATAGATACAATAGATATAATAGATACAATAGATATAATAGATACAATAGATATAATAGATACAATAGATATAATAGATACAATAGATATAATAGATACAATAGATATAATAGATACAATAGATATAATAGATACAATAGATATAATACAATAGATCTAATAGATACAATAGATCTAATAGATACAATAGATATAATAGATACAATAGATCTAATAGATACAATAGATATAATACAATAGATCTAATAGATACAATAGATCTAATAGATACAATAGATATAATAGATACAATAGATCTAATAGATACAATAGATATAATACAATAGATCTAATAGATACAATAGATCTAATAGATACAATAGATATAATAGATACAATAGATCTAATAGATACAATAGATATAATACAATAGATCTAATAGATACAATAGATATAATAGATACAATAGATCTAATAGATACAATAGATCTAATAGATACAATAGATATAATAAATACAATAGATATAATAGATACAATAGATCTAATAGATACAATAGATCTAATAGATACAATAGATATAATAGATACAATAGATCTAATAGATACAATAGATATAATAGATACAATAGATATAATAGATACAATAGATATAATAGATACAATAGATCTAATAGATACAATAGATATAATAGATACAATAGATATAATAGATACAATAGATATAATAGATACAATAGATATAATAGATACAATAGATATAATAGATACAATAGATATAATAGATACAATAGATATAATAGATACAATAGATATAATAGATACAATAGATATAATAGATACAATAGATATAATAGATACAATAGATATAATAGATACAATAGATATAATAGATACAATAGATATAATACAATAGATCTAATAGATACAATAGATCTAATAGATACAATAGATATAATAGATACAATAGATCTAATAGATACAATAGATATAATACAATAGATCTAATAGATACAATAGATATAATAGATACAATAGATCTAATAGATACAATAGATATAATAGATACAATAGATATAATAGATACAATAGATATAATAGATACAATAGATCTAATAGATACAATAGATATAATAGATACAATAGATCTAATAGATACAATAGATATAATAGATACAATAGATATAATAGATACAATAGATATAATAGATACAATAGATATAATAGATACAATAGATATAATAGATACAATAGATATAATAGATACAATAGATATAATAGATACAATAGATATAATACAATAGATCTAATAGATACAATAGATCTAATAGATACAATAGATACAATAGATACAATAGATATAATAGATACAATAGATACAATAGATACAATAGATATAATAGATACAATCGATACAATCGATCTAATAGATACAATAGATACAATAGATCTAATAGATACAGTAGATCTAACAGATACAATAGATTAGGACTCATCGGTGATGCTATCTTTGGGTAAAAGGTGATATAGTAATTGGTCTAAACTACTAACAGTAGGGGAGAGGTGTAAAACTAGCTCATTTTATTAATAACATTTAAGGAGTACTGGTTAATCAATAATTAGAACATACTTTGAATCAGAACAATCCTTTTTAACATGTCTACTTTAAAACAGGGCGATAATATAGATGCTATAGAGGAAACGAAAGTTAATGAGTGTGAATATTAAGTCATCAAGTTAGCAGTAGAATCCGGTAAACCACAAGTGACTATCATAAGTGTGAGAACTTACCCTCGGTCACCGCAGTGAGCGAAGCAGAGTAAACATCGGCCGTCCGTGTAGGTATACCGTCCTACAGGACAGGACTGGAGGAGAGGGGTACTGCCTGCTCTACCGATAGATCTGAAAATACAGAACCAACTATGTATTACTCTATACTTTTTACAACACTTTCTAATAAGCTTAAACAATAAAGGCTAAGTTTGTGTTGAACACATTTTTTAATTGAAATTTATTTTGTCACGCAAAGAGTTGAAATTACTGGTGTTTCGACTCTAAACCGCTGACAGACAACAGAGGCGAGACAACGGTCTTTGCTTGACAAAGGAAACAGACGTTGTCGAAAGCTCGCAAAACAAGTTTTCAATTCGTGTTTGTGTTCATACCAAACTGACGATTCTTAATCCGAAAGCATATACATAGCCAGGATTGGACAAGATTTAAGTATAAACAATCAAATATAATGCCCATTTAAACAAACGATTTGTTTCGGTTATTTACTATCCCAGCGTATGCATTATATTGGAAAATACTGGCACGCAACTATACAACGTCGTTTTTGTCATTTTAAACGCATCTTAATCTGCTGTTTGAGTTTTAGTCCAGGTGGTTTGCCGTAACCTTAATGGCCACAGTTATCGCTTTTGAGCAGTGACATGGTTCATATCATACACACTTTAATTTGCAATTAAACAGTAAACAATTTCTCAACAATAGTCTAGACCAATAAGGGACGACTTTGACATCACCGATGATTACTGGAAATACGAAATAGCTGTTAAGTGCACTGTAATTATGTTCTGGCGTACCGTATCTATCACAAAGACTTACAGATGCTCATTCATTCTTTATTACCTTAAACCTTGCGGTTTATCAGTACAGTGCATATATACAGTGCAAATTATACAGTACATATATATTTATATAAATAAGAGTACATAGAACACAATCTTCCGACCATGGATATACGATAAAATCACAGAGAAAGTGTAGAGAGTGATTCATTTAATCTTAAACAGTATTGAATCTCCTTTTTTGACATTGGTTCAGATATTTGGCTAAATTAGAAAGTTCTTTATTATTTCTTGTTGTCATCAAATCTAAAAAATAAATGCCATACTAGGTTTTTTATGATAATATTTTTTAATGAAACGGTATCTTAAATCAGTATAATGACTACATCTAATAATAAAATGATATTCGTCTTCAATATCGCCAGTGTTACAATATATACAAATTCTATCTTTTCTCTCTAAACCATGAAATCTACCCGTTTCAATATTCAACGTATGCGATGACAACCAAATTTTAGCAATTTGTTTTATATTTTGTAATCCAATAGGTTTAATTAAATACTGTTTAAGACAAAAAATACCACAGATCCATTTATAAAGAGAACACTTAGCAGATGAATTAATTAAATCTAGACACTCCTGTTGAAAAATGTCATGCATTCTACATTTGATAATATTCAGAATTTGACCTTCATTACCTTCTGTTAGCCATAAATATCCGAAAACTTACCTATATAATTCATTTCTTATGTTATTTGTCCAGTCGCTGCCCTTTTCAATCATCTCATCGTAACAAGCCTTTAAAATGCAATTGTCCGAAATTCTAAGTTTAAGCCAATATTTGAACATTCTAAATTTCCTTATCATTTGTAAAGGTAGCCTCCCTAATTCTTGATAAATCATTACATTAGGTGTGCATTTCTTAACCCCCAAAATTCGTTTACAAAAATTCAAATGCACTTTCTCAATATCTGGAGCTTTGTGAAAGCCCAAATTTTCAGCTCCATAATTTAGGACACTGCACACAAAAGTATCAAAAACGCTAAGTTGGGTTTCAATATTGAAATATTTCCTTTTACAAACATTGGATACAGCATATAGTGCTTTCCTACCTTGTTCTGCTAATTTCTCTTGTGTAATACTTAATTTACCATTGAATTTCATTAGAATTCCAAGGTAGCTAAAATATTTTCTAAAACATTACCATCATAAAACCATTTTTCTTCCTCGTTCAACTTACCACCATTCCTAAAAATTATANTATTCAGAATTTGACCTTCATTACCTTCTGTTAGCCATAAATATCCGAAAACTTACCTATATAATTCATTTCTTATGTTATTTGTCCAGTCGCTGCCCTTTTCAATCATCTCATCGTAACAAGCCTTTAAAATGCAATTGTCCGAAATTCTAAGTTTAAGCCAATATTTGAACATTCTAAATTTCCTTATCATTTGTAAAGGTAGCCTCCCTAATTCTTGATAAATCATTACATTAGGTGTGCATTTCTTAACCCCCAAAATTCGTTTACAAAAATTCAAATGCACTTTCTCAATATCTGGAGCTTTGTGAAAGCCCAAATTTTCAGCTCCATAATTTAGGACACTGCACACAAAAGTATCAAAAACGCTAAGTTGGGTTTCAATATTGAAATATTTCCTTTTACAAACATTGGATACAGCATATAGTGCTTTCCTACCTTGTTCTGCTAATTTCTCTTGTGTAATACTTAATTTACCATTGAATTTCATTAGAATTCCAAGGTAGCTAAAATATTTTCTAAAACATTACCATCATAAAACCATTTTTCTTCCTCGTTCAACTTACCACCATTCCTAAAAATTATAACTTTAGTTTTTTCAACATTAACAGTTAGATTCCATTTCTTAGTGTATTGTAATAGTGTGTCTAACATTTTTTGCAATCCCTCTTCCGATTCAGCTAACAAAACCATGTCATCTGCGTACATTAGAAGAAATAAGGTAATAGTTTGGAGTTCTATAGAAGGGCAGTTATCAGTTAAAAAATGCATCTCACAATCATTCACATAAAGTGAAAATAAAATCGGTGACAATATTTCGCCTTGGAACAAACCATTCCTGCATTCGAAGGAATTAGACATTGAATTTTTGAATTTAACACAACATTTTACATCATTATAAAAAGAACGTATCCNAAAATTCAAATGCACTTTCTCAATATCTGGAGCTTTGTGAAAGCCCAAATTTTCAGCTCCATAATTTAGGACACTGCACACAAAAGTATCAAAAACGCTAAGTTGGGTTTCAATATTGAAATATTTCCTTTTACAAACATTGGATACAGCATATAGTGCTTTCCTACCTTGTTCTGCTAATTTCTCTTGTGTAATACTTAATTTACCATTGAATTTCATTAGAATTCCAAGGTAGCTAAAATATTTTCTAAAACATTACCATCATAAAACCATTTTTCTTCCTCGTTCAACTTACCACCATTCCTAAAAATTATAACTTTAGTTTTTTCAACATTAACAGTTAGATTCCATTTCTTAGTGTATTGTAATAGTGTGTCTAACATTTTTTGCAATCCCTCTTCCGATTCAGCTAACAAAACCATGTCATCTGCGTACATTAGAAGAAATAAGGTAATAGTTTGGAGTTCTATAGAAGGGCAGTTATCAGTTAAAAAATGCATCTCACAATCATTCACATAAAGTGAAAATAAAATCGGTGACAATATTTCGCCTTGGAACAAACCATTCCTGCATTCGAAGGAATTAGACATTGAATTTTTGAATTTAACACAACATTTTACATCATTATAAAAAGAACGTATCCTATTTAACAGTTTACCTTCTACTCCTTCCTTAATTAGTTTAAACCACAAATTCTGTCTGTTAACAAAATCGAAAGCTTTCTTATAATCTATGAAACAGCAATATAGCTTCTTTTTCTTCTTTAAAGTTCTATTAATTAACGATTGAAAGACAAACACAGCATCTATGGTTGACATATGCTTTCTGAAGCCAAATTGAGCGTCACTTATTTTAGAATAAGCGGTATCAAATTCCATAAGTCGATTATTTAAGGTTGCTGTAAATATTTTGGCTAAACAACTAACTAGAGTAATTCCTCTATAATTATTTGTGTCATTCGTATCCCCCTTTTTAAATAAGGGAATAATATTACCTATTGACCATATGGAAGGATAGTTACCAGATTTGAATTTTTTATTAAATAATTTAACAAGACAAGGTAATAAAACCTCTTTACCTCTGATAAAAAAAACACCTCATTAATTAACAAATCATGGCCACATGCTTTATCTGTGCTTAAGTTATTGATTACTTTACTAACTTCTTCTTTAGAAATGTCATTAGTGGCATCATAATTTCTAAAAAAATCGGTTACAACCTCATTTTCACAAGGTTTCTTGGATGACAAATTACTAAAATGTAGATAAAAATCATGTTCATCAAGTGAAGACTTCACATTATTCTTTCTGTTTTTGAAATATCTATAAAAATGTTTTGGATTATATTTTCTCATGAAGTTCAAAATGTCACCTTGATGTGTTATGTACTGCCTCTTCAACTAAGTTCCATTTTCTTATAACTGCGTATTTTCAAAACAAGTGCATCATGATTTTCTTTGTTCTTACATGAATTGAACGTAAATAAAACATTTTTATAATCCATATAGCGAAGTTTGCAAATTTCATTGAACCAGGGTTTATCTTCTTTGCCTTTTTTCTTATAATCACTTACAGGATGGGTAACAACACTAAGAGGTAATACTAGTTCTTTCAGAAGATCAGTAAAAAAATTAACACTTTCATTGATACCAATTTGGCTCACATCATTACTGTCACAACAATAAGATAACACGTTCTATTATTTTCTAAAATGGGACGTAAAGTTTCTGTATAATTATCATTCCATCTTATACGTGTCCGATTCTGATAACCAACTTGTTCCTGGACATAATTTACAACATTTGAACGCAAAGTAACACATATCGGAGAAAGGTCTGATAAAGCATTAAATATCCCACTTTCAAAATTAATAATATCTCCAATAACAGTATCAAAAGTTAATACATAGTCAATAAGACTAGTACCTCTACTATTAAAGAAGGTAACACTGCCATTTGGATCATTTTTGTGCCTTCCATTAACTATTCTTAAGGCAGTAGTCCAAACTGATTAATAACTGGGTCTGAATTGGAACGTTTAGCTGGTACAGAATCTGGCACATACGATACAATATTGGAGACAACATTGGCGGAAAACTCTGGGATACTGTCATTATTAATATAATCATTATTGTTACCCGTTCTGCTATTAAAA